GCTGAACTTGTTGGTCTGGTCCTACATTTTTTAAATCAAAGTATTGTTATGCCTTGTAAATCCAACCTGTGGGGTCATCTCCATTAAACTTAGGAAAGGACAATTTGAGGGGTTAGTGATGGTGGTCATTGATGGGATTAGGACGAGAAGTAATGAGTTGGTTTCGGAAGAGCTAGTGTTTGGGGTACGTGAGGCTCGAAGAGCTTGAAGCTCAATTAACACTGCTTGTAAGGCAGCGTTCACTTGATCGAAGCTTGATTCATGCCGTGCTAATGTTTCGTTGACTTCGTTGCAGAATTCTGCATTCATTTTGCCGCGAGTGTCCATGGTCGAAACCGTGCTCTGATACCACTGATACGAAGGAATTTAGAATAAGAAAGGAATAGAAGAAGAAAGTGATTGTTTGAGAATAAACTGCATATCTTTATTGACTCATTCAGGCTATATATATAGCCATACAACTAGTCGGGAAAATAACAACAATGCTAAAGAATAGCACCCACGTAACGGACTCAACAAACAATGACTAACAAACAAATTAGACCAAGTCTTCCATCTTACCACTACACTTCATAGATTGGTCTGGTGCGTGTAAAGTGGTACATATCATAATTTTGGTGTGACGAAGGTTGGTAAAGATAGCATGATATTTTACTTGAATAGTTTTGCAACTTATGATCAACGTTAGCACATTGAGATGAAAACTATTTACTACTACATTATGTTGGGAGAAGATAAAGTACGTCAAAATTTGATTCTTTTTATTTTTTTATTTTGAAATATGAGTTATTGGGGGAAACAAAAAATGAATAACTAACAAATATTTTCTTTTACTTTCGTGTATTTCAGCTTATGTTAATCTTATCATTTTAAGATTTCTATTCAAATTTGAAAGTAGTATTTTTATCATTATTATTATTATTTTGTTTCCAAAAATGTCCAAACCAGTTTACACGCACTATAATATTTCAATGGTATGAATATTGATAAAATTCTCTTTATGCCTGTATTTTTATTTTTATTTTTCCATTTTATCTTTGAAACAGTTCATTTATAATTAATAATTATTAACTAAATATAAAATATTATAAAACCTAAATTATAGTTTTCTGCTATCATAACATATTTGGGATGCTAATGATGGAGAGTGGCCATACTTTAATAAAGAAAAATTATACAGCTACCGACGGTAGTGCACCGATTTTGTTCACCGAATGACGTGACAAAATCCTGACTATTGATTAATTTTAATTTAATATTAATTAACGGTCAGGATTTTGCCACGTCATTCGGTGCACTACTTCGGTGACTGTAGCATTGCTCTTTAATAAATGGGTGGTCCATTTTTTAAGCACTTGAAAAGTAATCTCCACCTACCAATCTATTGAAAGATGATGAATAAATATCATTTCCCAATAACACAATTAAAATTTATTTAAAAGTGTGAAGTTATTAGCACCCTATTAATCGATTAAGAAGTCCCATTTCTGAAGAAACCTTATTTTAAATTTTTAAAATTAAATCTTTTGCTCAAGTCATCTTTAAATTCCATGAATGCTCTTCATTTTTTTTTTTTTTTTAATATATTTTTTAAAAGAACTAACATTTCATTCCCTTCACTTATGCTTTATACCCTATTATCATTATTTCTAAAATAATATTTTAAATAATTAGATAAAATTTCAGAAAAAAATTAAAGCTAAAATTACCCAAAAATAAATAAAAAATGTGACTACCAATACTATGAAGAACAAATAACAATAAATTTAAATGTTAAGCGATTAAAAACTTACAATTCTGGAATAACATGAGTAACAAAATAATAATAATAATAATAATTAGAGTTTACGAGATAATAGTGAGGTGTCGAAAATATTTTTTAAAAATAAGAAATTAAAATTAATTTTAATAATTTAATATAAGAAATAATAATAATAATTAGAGTAAATTCAAAGTCTGTTTTACATCTGCTATTAACAATTACGAGCTTATACATAAGGCCCATGGTGTAGCTTTGTTGGGCTCGGGGCCCAAAATTAACAACAGCCGGGTACGAATCGTTTCATAATCAGGCATTCATTTAAAGACTAAAGAGTCAGCACAGTGACTCACTGAGTCATCTAGTTAGAATCAAACTATCCCACATTCTTTAGTTAAGGAATAATACAATTGTTTATATACAGATAGAAGCATCCCATTTATCGTCTCTTCGGAGACATCCGATAAAATTGGAACGATACAGAGAAGATTAGCATGGCCCCTGCGCAAGGATGACACGCACAAATCGAGAAATGGTCCAAATTTTTTTTTTTCTCTTTCTGGGTTTTTTCTGTTCTTTCCTATAACGCTTCATTTTTAACTTCTGCTCGAATTTCAGAATTCATGTTGGTGTCCAGAGCAGCACCTGAAACTGAAAGAGTTTAACTAAAAGTGGATCATCGACATCGAATAAAATGAAAAATTTTCCTTGAAGTTCTACTTGGTTTGTAGACTGTAAAAAGAATTTGCTGTCAAACAACATACTGTTGTCTTTTAGCTGGATTTTTATTAAAAATCATTTTAGATAAGATATAGTATTGATCCTTTCAGGGCCAGTTTCAGTTGATGTGTTCATTCTACTATAGATTATATGGTTGTGTTATTGGATTGGATTTTGAGTCTCATACTAAGATAAAGCACTTCAGCTTATTGGAGTGGAATGGTTTAGAGAGAAGATGACCACATCTGCTCAATAATAATGTGAATAAAAAATTGAGAAATGGTCATATTTTCTTCACCTTCTTGCCCTCTCTCAAGTCTCTCCAGAAGGAAATTGAAATTTAATATAAGGACAAATTTATCATTATAAAATTTATTAAAAAGTGAGGATTTTTTAATCCACTCTAATTAAAAATAAAGGCCCAATTGTCAGCCTGACCAAGACTCTTGGACACCGCATGAGCCATGTTGGGCGCTAGCGCATAATTATATGAAAGGGAGTGATTTTTGAGCCCCGCGTATCAGCAGTTCCCAATACTTCAATAAAATTGTAATAATATAATAATAAAAAACAGTAAATACAAAGTCTGTTTTACATCTGCTATTACCATTGTTACCCCAATCTTTCATCTTTCCCAATATAAATTTATGTTTCATTCTTTAAAACATTTTTAATCAAGATTTATTTAGTATTGTCAGTCACAAAATTGAGGCACTGACTAAGCTGTTTCTAATAAGATAATACTTACGATTTTTCAGTATAAATATCTAGAATATCTAATATCATTATATAATATAAATTTCGACAATGTTATCAAGATTAATATGCCCTTGTTAGCAACAATCACATATATTAGGAAATCAGAATCAATAAACACCTATACTTTTGAGTTTAATATAATGAACTCAAACAACTTTTTTTTTTTTTTATAATAGAAACCCATCCCGATAAGGTAATTAAAAAAAGTTTGACTAGTAATGAACTTTTTGAATTCATTAATTCTTAAAAAATCAATCCCTAAAATAAATACCAAATAAATTGTAATTCTATTACAAGTTTGAGAAATGAGAAGACATCCTCACTTTCTTTTATGCCACGCAACTCCTAATCCTACTTCAAACAAAGAAACTAGTTGGAAATCCTTTTTAATTTAAACCACTTTTCCTATTACAAGTTTGAGGAGACATCCTAATCCTTCAAACAAACTACTTGGAAATCCTTTTTAATTTTTGGTTAATTTTCTTATCCAAATTACCTTATGTTAGCAAAATTATGTTATAAATGAAAACAACAATATTTTCCTTATGTTTTAAGGTTGTAGAGAATAGTATAAATAAGGGACATTATTTGATTTTCTTCTCATCTTTTTGTTCTCTAACTCTCACTCACAGCTTACAAATCAAAACACACAAACACCAACTAGAAATACAAAGGATGAATTTGATGTTCAGTTTATTTGATACGTTCTGTGCTAGTTGCTTGAGCTCGAAACGAGAACGAGCCTTTTTGATTTGTGCAACCAAGGAGAGTAACAATATGCAAGTTCAATCACAGGATTATTCAAGTAGTGATCTTAACTTGAATAAGAAAAAAGAGGGTCACACATCATCGAAGACGAGTCGTGGGAAGCCCATGTTTTCACCAGAGTTGGATGGACTACACTGTTTTGAAACCCTTGTCTTCTATACATAATTTATGTACGGAAAAAGTAAATGATTAGATATATAGAAAATCTTTTTTGAATTTTTTTCTGCTATTTTATTCATTTATTGATTAATGATTTTAATTTGTTGTAAAGACTTGCTTTAATTAATTGATCAATTAGTAGATATCATGATAAGTATTTAATTTCTTGGTTTTCAACTAATATCCTTTATTTGAAAGCACCTTTTATATGTTATTCTATTTGTTAATTTTGATTCCATGACAAAACGAACCAAAAAAACCACCCCCCAAACCTAGCTTGTCTGAAGGAGTCAAGGAGATATATGATTTCAGTTCTTAATTACAAGAAATCTTATCAACCAACTTTGACAAACTTCTGTTTAGCCTCTGTAAACATAAAATTTAATTTGAACAGTTCATAATTCACTAAAAAACTACTTGGTGGGGAGCAAATCTACCTTTTGTCCAACCCAATTATTTTAATTCACTAAAAAATTACTTGATGGTAGACCATTAATTGACCATTGTCATATTTTACCAAACAATTGGTGTTCTTAGGGCTGGTTAACGAACCGAGCCGCTCGCGAGCCAGCTCAGCTCGAGTCTGGCTCGTTAACGGCTCGGTTCGTATGGTTTCAAGCTGACTCAGCTCGGTGAGTGAGAAAGAATGAGCCGAGTTCAAGCCTGCCTCAGCTCGGCTCGATAGGCTCGCGAGCCGACCCTGGCTCAAATAAGTGGGGGGTTTTTTGGGGGTTTACTGAAATATGGGGGATTACACTGACATTTTCAAAACAAAAAGTTTTCAAAAATGAAAAGACCCCCCTGATTTTAAAATCCCTAAAATCGTCGACATTAACTATTTGCCTTAAAAATCAAACCAAATCCAAAAATTGTCAACACATTTTCCAGCCATCTCCGATGTACCTCGTCGTTGTCAATAGACTCAATACCATCTGCTTCGCCACAGTGTTGTCGCAGACTCGCAGCCGTCGAACCCATCTACCCCTTTAACTCTCGTTGTGAAACACTGAAATCTGCTTGTTTTCCTTTTCTGTCCTTGCCGTAAAACCCAGTTGCTCCGCCGTCGACCATCGTCTTGTTCGCAGTAAGTTTGATTGCTTTGAATCTTGTTGAGTTGTTGTTACTTGTGTATGATTGATTTTTGTGAAACCCATTAGCTTCTCATGATTTTTGTGAACTCTCTTTTGTAACAGCTGGTTTTTTCCAGTGAAACTAACTGTGTATTGATTGTGTTGTTGTCGTTGACCGGCGTGGTGTCACCGTGAACCCCATTTGAGCCAAACAAATTTGCTTATAGCATAGTGATGTAGGTTCTTGGACATTGTGGCTATCTTGAAGAACCTGAAACAGTTTTTGTTGAGATGAGAAGGAAAAACTGGGTGTCGGATGAACCAGTTTATGGGCTTTTAGTAGATTTGTGGGGAAAGACTGGTAATGTTAGAAAGGATTGGGAGTGGTATCAGGCCATGCTCCATGCGGGTATCCCTAATGTGCCCACTTGCAGTTCCTTGCTTAGTGCTTTCCTTAAGGTGCACCAGCTGTCAGAAGCTTATAACTTATTGCAAGGCATGTTGACATTGGGTCTGAGGTCTTCTCTGCAAACGTATATCTTGCTTCTAAGCAATTTGCGTTGTTTGTATTGATTTTCTTTGCATTGCATTTTCTTTTGATGTTTAATTTTTTAAGTAAGTGTAGTTGTTGGGTAATGTTTCAGGTCAGGAATATAAAAAAAATTGGAATCCGCCCTTTATTTAAAAAAATAAAAATAAAATAAAATTGCTTTTTTTGGAGCCGGCTCGAACTCAGCTCGTTTAGCCGGCTCGAGAGCCAAGCTCAAAATCCTCTCCATCTCTAACGAGCCGAGCCGAGTCAAAAATCTGAGGCTCAGCTCAGCTCGTTTTTTCCTCCCCTTTCACGAGTCGAGCTCGTTTAGCCGAAAACTCGGCTCGTGAACAGCCTTAGGTGTTCTTGTCTTGATCGTGGCTTTTCGACTTTATTCAAATTAAATTTTATAACTTCTTTGGCATTTATGCAATTTATTTATATTTTCATTCTTAAATTTTAAATTACTAGAAAGCTGAGTTCTTCCATTAATCTTCTACACAAAAATAAGCATAGAGTAGCTTTCTTAGTAGATTTGGCATACTATTTTTTAACTTTGGTTGTTTACTTTACCTTATGTTACAATTAATTATTACTTTATTATATATAATTAAAATAATAATATTTTCCTTATACTTTTTCATGTCTCCAAGATTAGTATAAAGTATAAACTACATACCTTATTTTCTCTTCCATAAAGTAATAGGCAACTCCTAAATCCTAATCTAGACCAAGTTAAAGTTTTCTTCTCATCTTCTGCAAGAAAATAAAATAGGACATTTTCCTCAATTGATTCGGAATCCTATTTTTTTTTTTTTTAATTAGTTTTCCTTTTATTCTAAATAGAAATTATTCTCCAAGTATAATATTAATTATAAATCAGAATTCCACTTAAAGTAATAATCCTAAACCTAATTAGATAAGTCATAAGACTTATCAAACTTTAGATAATTTATAGACTGACTAAGATTAATACATTTCCCAAAAAAAAAAATAACAAAATAAGACTCCTAATACTACTAGAATAAGAAATCTACCTAGTTTTCTAATAGTAATAGTTTTCCTCATAATTTAAGGTTTGAGATTAATATAAATAAAGGTCTCAAAAGCACATATTGTATTTTCCTCATTCAAGTCTCTGTTGAAACTTTCTCTAGTCTCTCTAATACATATCTATTAATTTCTAAACTTTGTTGTCTCAGAAACCATGAATTCGATGTTCATTTTATTTGATGTGTTCTGTGCGGGATGCTTGAGCCAGAAACCAGTGATCAAAACCTCTGTCCCTTCCACAACAAAGGATACCAAAATGCCGGCGCAATCACAGAAAAATTTGAGTACTCCTAAAGTTAATCAAAAGCAAGAGGGGCCTGCGGCATCATCCAAGGCGAATGGTAGGAATTAAGCCCAATTTTGCACAAGAGTCGGATGGTTGAAAGCTCTTTTCTCCGATTAACGATTTACCTATCGAAGATATGTTGTATGCCCACTAGATTATTAGGAATTAGGATGATTAAGACGTGGAAAAACTTTTTAGAATTATTTTTTTTTCCTCTTCTGTTTAGTGGTAAACATAGGATTTATATATTAGTTGATTTTGTATTTTCTTTTTTCTTTTTGAATATATAATTAATTAAATTTCATAGGAGATTGTTGGTTTTGGAACACTATGTGCTTGTGATTTATATACAATATACGGATGTTTACAGAGATAGTATTTTGATCAATGACTTTTTTGTGTAGTTTAATTTATAAATGTTGTTGTGATTGCACAACTATATAAAACATATTTGATACAACCAATATTATACATGTTAACCACAGTTTGTTGCAATTTTAAATACAACCTTTGAAATTTTTATTTTTTTTTAAATAAAAAAAATATCTAATTTCTCTTGTAATGATCAAATATCAATGACCTCTCTTCTCTTGTAGAAATTAGAGGTTTATCTCAGATGAATGACATGGAGTTAATTTATAATGGAGGTTGAAAATAATAAATATGGTTTTATTTGTGAGCTAGAAATATTATTATTATTATTATATAAAATTGAGTTATTGGAGAAAACTTAAAAAAAAAAAAGGGCATAGTTTTTATGTAGTTATAATAGTGACTACAGATACAAATTCTCTGAAATCAACAATTTAATATATTTAATTTATAAAATTAACAATTACGAGCTTATACATAAGGCCCATGGTGTAGCTTTGTTGGGCTCGGGGCCCAAAATTAACAACAGCCGGGTACGAATCGTTTCATAATCAGGCATTCATTTAAAGACTAAAGAGTCAGCACAGTGACTCACTGAGTCATCTAGTTAGAATCAAACTATCCCACATTCTTTAGTTAAGGAATAATACAATTGTTTATATACAGATAGAAGCATCCCATTTATCGTCTCTTCGGAGACATCCGATAAAATTGGAACGATACAGAGAAGATTAGCATGGCCCCTGCGCAAGGATGACACGCACAAATCGAGAAATGGTCCAAATTTTTTTTTTTCTCTTTCTGGGTTTTTTCTGTTCTTTCCTATAACGCTTCATTTTTAACTTCTGCTCGAATTTCAGAATTCATGTTGGTGTCCAGAGCAGCACCTGAAACTGAAAGAGTTTAACTAAAAGTGGATCATCGACATCGAATAAAATGAAAAATTTTCCTTGAAGTTCTACTTGGTTTGTAGACTGTAAAAAGAATTTGCTGTCAAACAACATACTGTTGTCTTTTAGCTGGATTTTTATTAAAAATCATTTTAGATAAGATATAGTATTGATCCTTTGAGGGCCAGTTTCAGTTGATGTGTTCATTCTACTATAGATTATATGGTTGTGTTATTGGATTGGATTTTGAGTCTCATACTAAGATAAAGCACTTCAGCTTATTGGAGTGGAATGGTTTAGAGAGAAGATGACCACATCTGCTCAATAATAATGTGAATAAAAAATTGAGAAATGGTCATATTTTCTTCACCTTCTTGCCCTCTCTCAAGTCTCTCCAGAAGGAAATTGAAACCATTTTATGCATGCTTGTTAATATAACCTTCCTCGCTAACGCATACATCAAAGAATAAAGAGCAACTAATCACAAACGTTATTCATACAAAACTTCTTGTGATTCTTTTGTTTTTCTGCTCTTTTAGCTAATCTTTGTCAAGCTATTCATCGAAAGTGATTGGGTCCTCCCATTTCTTAGACATCAATTAAAAGCGATCTCCACTCACCTGTGTGGCTCTCTTCATGAACAGTATATGGATTTCACCACTAAAAAATGTGGAAGACGAAGGTGATAGTACAATAGTGACGAGTTTGTTTTATATGTTGGAAAGTAGAGCTACTTAACCAATTAATTAAAGAATAATATTACACTTATAATTTTTGCATACAATTGTGACTAACAGAGTTAATTTGCATTTGAGTAAGATATGACTTATTACAAACTGACTAATCACGAGCTGTTACATCAAAATTGTATAAAAAATTATAAGTGTAGTGTTACTCTAAATTAAAACTGTTTTTTATTTTTATTAATATACAAACTAATATAACAAAAAATGAATAAAAAAGTGAATATGATAAGTTTTACAAGCCGTGGGATTAGTTTATATATCTAACATTATTGTTATATTTTTCTTGATATTTTGGTAGGTAATAATATTATACCATAAGCTTTTTCTTAATTGTCGAGGAGATGAAGAACAATTGAATTTTGTGAACACATTAACTTGGGCTAGAAGCCCATTGGTTTATAATCTAATGGCAGTGACAACCAAGGTCTATGTCCAAAGAAATATAACGTTGGACCAAATTTAGTAGAATTTAATCCAAACAAACTACAGCCCATATGTGTAGCTCAATTTGGCCCAACGTCGCCTATGGCCCTTGGCAGTAATGAATCGTTTTGAATCTGTTTTAGCTTGGAGTAAAACTTGGTGCACTAACCAATGTGTACTAATTCAAGTACTAACATTAAAAATTTAAAATTTTTCTCAAAAAAATTTAAATTTTTAATGTTAGTATTTAGATTAATACAAATTGGTTAGTGTACATAGCATTACTCTTTACCCTGAGTTAATGAAAATTTTTTTTTCTTGAGGTTTGATGAAAGTATCAATTAGGTCCAGTAAAATCAGGAAAAGCCATTTCAGTTCCTGTCAAATTAAATTCCATAAAATGATGCAAGGGTATTTTTGTCATTATATACAAATAACTTAATGATGTAGCAGGAGTAGGGAAATCATTTGTTGGATTTTTTTTTTTATAGTATTTTTAACTTTTATCTTATTATTTTAATTTTTTTTATTGATTTTAAGAATTATAGTTAAAATTTTCATATATCTTTTGTACAGGACAAACGGAAAATGCAACAGCAAGGGTGGACAAAAAATCTGTAAAACCATACAATTCGGTATGGTACGGACGTATGGTAGGGGTCTTTAGTACAAAAAATCCGTTATTTTTTTTCTAAGAACCGTATGGTATGGTTTCGGTTCTTGCTTTAGTCTAACTGAACCGTACCATACCGAATTGTTTATCTTTTAGTTTTTTTCAACATACCCTTGCAAAAAATAAAACATAAAACACCCAAAAACACTCATAAATCCCTTATAAATATCAAAAAGACCATTAAAAATATTAAAAAGCCTCCAATGAAAAACCGATAAACTGAACCGTATTGTACCAATTTTTTCGGTTTGGTACAGTTCGGTTCAACCAAAAAACATGATTGTACCGCATTTGTCCACCACTAATAATACCAAGGACTAAAGTATTTATTTTATTTTACTATACCTGATTAATATTTTTGCCAAACCTCAGGGATAAAAATGTCATTAACTTCGTTTTACCCTTCATTTCATGACATGTGCCACACCTACCATCCGGGTTGAAGACATTGATGAGCATAATTTTCTTTGAACCATACTATACTTACTCACCATCTTACTAACCATCTTACTATCCTTTACAAATATAACGCATAGTACTGGTACTATACGCATAGTACGGGTACCATGTAAAATTTTAACAAAGGTTGTATGGCAGTTAGTACAAGTGGTGAGTAAGCATAGTGTTTTTCATTTTCTTTTGTTTATCCTTTCTTTCTGAGCAGTTAATCTTTGTATTGTATTATGTATATCTTGACCATTTCAATCTTCATTATAACAATTATATTATTGTGTTGGGAGAAAAAACCATATTACTAAATAGGACCAAAAGTTATTTTATTTATTTAGATTTTGAAAGTTGTGTTATCAGGGAAAATAAATAAAAATATATATTTAAAAGAACAAATATTTTCTTGAACTTCATGGTTCGCTTTCGACTCTCACTCGATACTCATACAAGTTATTGAGTTATATAATTTTTGTTATTATTTTCTAATTGAGATTTTTTTGTCAAAAATTTGATTTTTCATCCAGATATTTTATCTGCACTTTTATTTATGTAGTTTAATTTTAGAAGAAAATCCTGCATTCTGTATTTTATTATATTATATTGAGTAGTGCTATTGGCCCCCACTTTTTTTCTTTACAGACCCCATTTCTAAATTTACCCCATCAAATTTTTTAAGTAAACATGAATATCTAAATAAACCCCATATATTTCCAAAACCGCCCTTATATATTTATATTTTCACTCCACATCTTATATCTTCTCAATTATATATTATTTATATGTATCTTGTTAATATCAGCCTTTTACTTGGGTATAAATTTTATGTTACTATAAGTTGTTAATAATCTTAAGTTTTTATTTTTCCAAACTACAAGTTTCTCACTAAAAATTTCCTCTTCTTTTGAAGACAATTCTCCCTTTTAATTTGAAGTATTATAAAGTTGACAACATTGCTTATCATTAAACACCTAAAATTAAAGGATTGAGTTTCACAATGAGGTAGGATTTTTTTCATCTGTTTTGTTGTAATTTGATCTACTGTATACACTATATCCATTCAATAATCTCTTACAAAAACTTTTGTGATCTATAATCATAAACTTTAGAGGCTAAATAAGCTCCTTTTACTCATTGAAAAGGGATTTATAGTGCTATTTCAATATATTTGCATTTTTTTATTCTGAGTTTGTTCACTCTTGCATGCACATGGAAACATTGCAGTATGCTTTATAATTGTCCCCTCAAGACAAAAGGCAGCTTCTTGTACAATTCATTTTACCAATAATTCACCACATGCTTTTCTGGCTTTTCTAATACAGAGTTATAAGGCATAGCATGTGACTTGACAGCTAATACTTCAAAGCTGTAGGGTCAGTGCCCTAAAATGTTTCGCCCTTTCAGATTTAATGGAGGATCTTATGGCCCTTTTCTTCAAACTTATAGGGTAGGGGCATAGCCCCACATTTGACAAGTATATAATTGGCTGAAGTTAGTATTTTTTGTTGAATGTTAATGTGCCATGGACCTTCTTGTTCCATCTTTTTGTTGGGTTAATTGCAATAATGGTACCATAATTATAAAAAAAAAAAAAAAAAAAAAGCAGCAATAGAATCAGAGGATCTAAGCCCCCTCAAAATACTCAATTTATAGCTAAACAAAGTGAAGTTGGTATGTAGTCCTTAATTGCAATGGAAAATATAGGCAAAAATTCATCCTGCTTCCAACCAGAAGACCCACATTTTCTTTTTCAAAGATTAAGGCCCTGTTTAGCTTTTGAAATCAAAGAATACAACAAATCTT